TCCTCTAATTTTTCATTCGGGCTTTGTTAGGTTTCTCCTATCTAAAAAATAGGATATCTCTACAGTGCTAAACTAATAAGTAACTGCAAGACTGTTGCGAGACTCTTGAGCAATACCAAGACCATGACCAAGACTCGTCTCGGTCTCGCATTTGGGCAACATTATTATAAACAATTTGGTCGGGATGGACTGCTATCTGCCAATGTTTATAACCTGAATACTGATAGTTCTGATAAAGCACTAATGAACCCTATCTTCGTTTTCATATTTATGGAAATTGAAATATACAAAAACAAATGTCATATTTATGACAATTGAAATATACAAAAACAAATTTAATAATAACAAAACAAATTTATTTTAAAACATATTATTAATACATTCTGATAATGTTGTTGTCTTTCTATCCTTTATTTTTACGATGAAACACTCGTCTGTTTCTCGGCAAACATCCATTGTTAAGGGAGTACTCTCCCTACGTGATTTTTTATTTTAGAAAAAATACTCTTGTCTACTCCAACGACTTTGCCAGGCCCTCCAATCTTTTTAGTTGACCTGTATAGCATGTTATGGGCACAAACCTCTAGTGAAATTTGTTCGACATTATTACACTTCTGTTCGATGGTTACAGTTGCTCTTTGCCCCACTGCATTGTTGTTAAATTATGAGACGACACCTAAATCAATTTTAAAATCGTTGAAAAGGTAATCTTTGACCCGTTTAACCACGTACCTATTCTTATAGATACGTTTTTGTTACAACTGCTACGAAAACATCTCCATTTGGTCTTCCTCTCAAACTCCATTTCATGACTTTCTTCACAGAATTTCACCTTTGGAATTATACCGAAATTTTGAAAAAAATAAATTGATAGCTTCTTCTTCTGAAGACGGCAATTCCCGTGGTGTAATAATATCCATTTCAACAGATGACAAAAAATAAACAATGCAATAACTAACATGTAACAGAAAGATAACAACAGCTTACACGAGAAAACAAGGGAGGTTATATGATGTAAGGTAAGATAAGAAGAAAGTTTCCGTCTCGACCGGATTGTTCACAAGTACCGACCTGCGTTCCGACTTTTATTTCACAAATTCATTTAAATCATTTTTTATTTTTAATCTACGATGTAAAATTTCCGCTTATTTTAATTAATCTGCAATTTTAAACAAATTCACTATATAGTTAATAATATTTAGACTAAATCGTTTTCCAAAGTAAACGGAGCGCAATTTAAACGTTCGTGTTTATTCTAGAATGTTTTGTCTATTTTGTTTTTATTACTACGATTTGTTTATTGACTTGTCTTTTAAGCTTTGGCAATAATTAATGTGATTATATGATTATACACATTTACAGAAAATAATAATCAAAATCATTAACTTGTTTTATTGTAAAACAGATGGCCACAATCGTTACTATCTTATAGGTGAATGATAGGGATGAGTAAAGTTAGATAAGGATTAATTGAGGATTAAAACTTCGGCTTGAAGCCCCTCCTCTAAAATAGTAAAATACAACCATGTTTTAGGAAAAAATATATTATCTATAAAAGTATTTTTGTTCGTGTAATAACATTCAATAGGACTTCAAGAATCACATAAAGGTAGTTAGTTTCTTTGTTCTTCTTCCAAAGTAATAATTGTTATATATACATATATATATATATATATATATTAAAAAAAAAAAAAACTTTCGGGCTGAATTCCCCAAAATTAAATAGTGGATCCGTTAGTGAGGGTAGATGTTTTAGGGGTGTAACCAAACCTATGCTAAACGAAGCGGAAGTTCAAGATTATTCCCTGGATCCACCACGAAAAGAATTGCATCTCGCTCAGGCCAGATTCGATCCATCGAATAGACTCGAGAAGTCTAGAGAGAGTTTTATTAGATCCATTTAATACTAATTCCAAGATTTTCTTGTTTGTTTATTTAATGAAAGTTACAACTGTATACAAATACAACTAGTAAATATGTGCAAATATAAATAATGGCATGTACAGGCTTGAAGAGATACTACCCAGTGGTAGCACTCTCTAAATAATTTTAAGTAAGAAGATCACGAGGCCATTTCCTTTTCAGACGCCTAGAAGGATTATCAGGAATCGAGGAAGAAGCAAGAGTGGAAACAAGCGAATTTGGATGGGACTGAAGTTTATCATGAAAGGATAGATATCTGGCTTGAGCTAAATCAGCGACATATGGTACATTATAAGGTCTTTATGAATGGTTTTATTTGTGACAAAGTATGGAGCATTAATGATTTTACGGAGGATTTTGGATTGTAAGGATTGGATACAAAAGGAATTCGATGGTTTGGTGGAGCCCAAAGCTCAACTCCGTATGTCCATATAGGTCTTATTATAGTTATGTAGATAAGTCTTTTGTAATTAATTGAAAGTTTGGAGCGTTTGTCTAGTAAGAGTAGGAGCAGTCGGTAATTCCAAGATTAAACTGAAAAGGTTTAAATTGAAACCCTAAGATTTTCAAAAGATCGAAGTCAAAATTTACAAATCCTGGATGACTACCCTGTGATAAAAATTGATTTTTTATAAAATATAACACTCCGCTGCCCATATCGTGGCCAGTTGAACGACTATTTTCTTTCTCTAATTTATCAGATGCACCCAGAATGAAATTGTTGAATGATCTATGGCTTCAGGAATAATATTATTAAAAGCTAATTGCCAATAAGTTTAATTTGGAATTAATATCTACTTAGTATATTTATTTGTTAGTTAAATATCATATATTTAACAAATTATTTTTAAAAAAAATATTGATTGAATAAAGCATATTTTCTATTTAATTGTTTTTAAACTACACCCACTATGCCCACTTTTCATTATTGCTTTTCTCATAAAAATAAAACGAAAAATTTTAATTTTTAAAAGATATCAAAATAATTTTATATAAAGTAGTTTTAAATTTTGGGCACAAAAATCCCTTAGACTACTGTGGCCACAAATGATACTCTCTCTTTTTTTTATTTTTAACTATACAGGGTGTTTAAGTATTAAGTAGCCAAACTGCAAAAATGAACTAAGGACATCAAAACAAGAAAAAAATTCTCTGAAGGTATGTCCGCCAACGCTTTGTTTAGGAGATATTCACACATAAAGATTTTCGTTGCTATAAATTATTTTCGTTATATGAAAATAATTGCATATTTAAGGTTCTTATATGCTAGGGATGTTACAGCAACTTTTTCGTCAAAATCGACTGACCGGAAGTGGCACTTTATATTACGGGCTGAACACACTTTTACAATTATCTCGAAAACCACTCTAACGATTTTGATTAAATTCATCACATCAGAGTAAAATTAAGCAGTTCTAAATAAAATTTGGTTATTATGCTGATTGATGTTCTCTAACAGGGCTTAAATGGCTAATTTTCAATATTAGCTTCTTCTAAAGTACCTTTAATTTCTTTATTTGAAACAATTGACTATTTCTCATTAATCTATACGTAAGATGAGCTTAATATAATACGGACTCCGACAATATTATATAAATATACATTTGCGGTTTTCATAAATGCTATTGTTGGTATTATTTAATATTTAATTGTATAGATTACAACGATATAAATATTAAAATTTGTATATATATATATATACATATATATATATATATATATATATATATATATATATATATATATATATATTATATATAAGGGTACTTATACAAATAAAAATACCCAAAATGAAATATAAATAATTATAGCGTCTATAATCTTTATTTTCACTTCTCCTTTGTCTAAAAGTACTTATTTCTGCTAAGAAGAGGGTAGTAAGTGAAAGTTGTGTGATGAGCGCACTGCACCAGATATTTTTTCTAATTACAACTGTGTCTGATTTTTGGAATCGCTTTTCATCTGCTAGATAGCAGACTTCTATTTAAATTATCACATGTCATATTTTGAGAGTCTAACAATAGCTACGGTAGAATGCAGAACGTCTCTGTATTTTTATATAATTTGAGTGGTTCAAATTTATTATCGAATCAATATATTTGTTGTAGTGGTGTATCTTAGTGTGCTAAATCTTTCTTTCATTAGAAGCAAAGACAAGTGTGCATAATAACTGATCTTGTCTCAAATTATCAGAACAGTTGTGTGCTACTGACGAACAGGAAAATAGACAGTTTTGAAGCGTGGAGGCTATGTCTAGGGGAAGTTATCTATAACTAACTCATTATTGTCTTTATATTTCCCTTATTATAATTCACCAATACTGAATAAAAAATGAATCTTAACATTAATAATATCATTATTAATCCAATAAATGATAAAACTAAATTCGCAGTAATAAACGTTGAAACTAAAAGTACTAAGGAAACAGTAGAAAAAATGAACAACATTCTGGATAATATTACATCGGAGCTTAAGTATGTAAAAAACAAAATCGATGAACTCGAAAAGATTAATTCTCAATTGGAAGGAAGGATAAAGAATATAGAGAAAAGAGGCAGAAAAAATAATTTAGTATTATTTAATATACCTCCGTACTATTTAAAATTTAGTATTATTTAAAAATCCCGGAACTACTTCCCCATACGGCTGCTCCCCGCGGGAAGTTAGACCATTACCCTCTTACTTGGGGGAGGCATACAGGTATAATACTTGTAAGAACAGGCTATATAAAAAATAAATAAATGTACCAGAAAAGGAAGGTATCAATTTGGAAAATGCAGTAGATGAAGCGAAACCAATATTATCTGGTATGGACATAAGTTTATCTGATGGTTTGATAAACAACTGCTACAGATTGGTAAACAATAGATAGAACAAACCCAGGCCTATTCTAATTTCACTTAACAATTATTTAATGAAGTAGAAATTAATGAAAAAGAGAGACTTATATAGAGAAAAAGAGATTCCTATAACACATGATAAATCACCTGAGGAAAGCGAGGAGGGAAAACAAATACATTTATATCTTAACAGATTGCGAAGCTTCGATAGTACGATGACTTATGAAAACAAGTTATTCACTCTGAAAGGAAACGCTTTTCACATATCTGAGATCGGAGGTCTACTGGATACTTTTGAAGGCAGCTAATTATCGCCAGCGTCATCATCACCAGTACAGGTAACTAAAAGAGAAAAAAAATGGTGAAAAACTCGAACAGTAACGATTTCGAGAAAGAAAATACACAAAACAAAACTAGAGAGTTGAGAAATGAATTATCAGGACTGACTGAATAGGTATCATGTTTTAATATTTTATTTTGGAATATCAATGATATCAAAATTTTATACAACTCGATGAATATATGGGCGAGTACGATATGATATACCTCCCTGAAACTCAAATAACGAATGAAATGAGAGTTAATCCAAGTTGAATGTCAACGGATAAAATTGTTTACAGTCCAGCTGCTAAGAGGTATAAACACGGCAGAGCCTCTGGTGACTTGCTTTGTTTTTATGTTCCAGGATAAATGCTCTGTAAGAACTTTACGGAATAATAGAAACAATATTCTTTTGTTAGATTGTAAAAATAGTTTAAAATTAATTGTAGGCTTTGTTTATATTAATCCTGGTATAGATATTAAATTATTTTTGGAAAAAAAATATAAATTACTATGAATGAGATCAGGGATGAACATAAAAACATTGCAATTTATTTTGGAGGGGACTTTAACTCTAGAATAAGTAATTTAAATACGGTATATAAATAATTTGGTGGAAAACGGCCAAATTTATAAAAATAAAATAAATATATGCTCTCCAGAAATTGTTCGTGACATATGCCTCTTGATAAATCGAAAAAATCAGACAGCTTTATATATTTAAGAGAAAAATATTAACTGGATTTATGGAACATAATTCCTGCATAGTGTTAAATGGCCGAACTACCAGTGATCTAACTGGTAATTATACTTATTGTGACACTGATGGTTCGGGTGTCGTGGATTTGGTCTCGTGTGAAAACGGGGGCTTAAAATTGTTATGTGATTTTATAGTCAAACAAATTTTATCCAGGTATGATCATTTCCCTTAAGAATTGAAAGTTTACTCTGGGTCTAACGTAAATATAAAAAATAATACCTAGAAAAGAAACTTATCAAATGGGGTAATAATATATTTAATAGAATAGTTTATTTTATTTGTCTAAGGAAATTCCTGTACAAATAGATATAAAGGTATTATTAATAATATTAAATCTTGAGTCTACTTCTGCGTTCAAACATAACATTAACATCGTCCACAGCATTAAGTATGACTAATATAATAACAAATTATTATATATATATATAATAATAATAAAAGGCTTAGGGAATCCAAAGGTTCGATGCCGACAGCATCAATCGCTCATTACACACCTCACTCCATCGTTCGCTGTCCAAACCTAGTCCCTTTAATCGGCTTTAATGCAATCTTCCCATCTTCGCTTCGGTCTATCCCTCGGACGATTGCCATTCGGTACAGCAATTTTTTTTTTTTACATTTGTAATTTTACATGCCTATTTGATACGCCGGGATTTAATCACCTCAATTATATTACCCGGATATCGTTCACGCAGTTCGGCGTTGTGTAATCGTCTGAATTCTCCGGTGAATTCATCCTTCTTCTGTCCGAATATTCTACGCTATACTTTATTTTCAAATACTGTAGGTAAGACAATGATTTTATAGATTCTAATTTTTAAGTTGCGGGACAAGAGGAGCGAGCTAAGTAGTTTTGTCACAGAAAAATAACAAGCATTTCCCGCCTTCAGTCTAACCTTAATATCTTCTACAATTTCGTGGTTTCTAGTTATCGCAGACTCTAGATACCTAAACTTACCTACCTGTTCAAACATATTACCATCTATATCGATATCACCAGTAATATCACCATTTTTGCAGCTAACCATATATTTTGTCTTATCCGTGTTTATTTCGAGCCCAAGTTCTATACTGGCATTCATTAACGTTGTCGTATTAAGTTTTATAGTTTCCATATCTTCGCTTAACTGTACCAGATCATCCGCATAGCCCAGCACGGGTGTTGTTGTCCCACCCAGATCCAACCCTTTTTCGGTACGCATTACCTTCCTAATGGCATGTTCTAATGCCATATGAAACATAACAGCAATAATTTAACAGCAGGCGAAAGAGAATCCCCTTGTTTCAAACACGAACGAACCTCAAACGTTTCGGACAGATTATTTCAGATTCTAACTTTATTGAGTGTCCGTCAAGCACATCCTGACTAGATTTACTAGTTTTTTGGGAATCCCCTGCTCAATTATAATATTAAACAGTTTCTGGCGGTCAATAGAATCGTAAGCCTTTTTGAAATCGATATACAGCTGCTGAACAATACCGTTGTACTCTAATTTTTCCTCTAATATTTGCCGTAAAGAAAATATTTGATCAATAGTCGAACGATTCCGTCGAAATCCGCATTGGTAGTCTCCGATAATTTCCTCGGCCTATTCCGTGATTCTACTAGTTAATATTAAAGTGAATATTTTATAACATATTGGAAGGAGTGAAATTCCTCGATAGTTATTACAACCCGTCCTCGGGCCCTTTTTTTGAAGCGGAATAAGAATAGATTCTTTCTATTTTTCAGGTAATTTCTAGTTCTCCCAGATCTTTTTAACCAACAAATGTATTTTAGAAACTCCAACTTTCCCACATGCTTAATTAGTACAGTAGGAATATTATCGGTTCCCGCTGTTTCATAAGATTTTAATTTTTCCGATAGCTACTTCAACTTCCTCTTTACGCGGTTCTTCCATCAACGGTTACGCACTCTGGTACTCAGAAGGAGGACACAACATAATATCCCGTATTTAAAATATTGTCAAAGTGGTTCTTAAACTTATTTAATATGTCAACAGGATCGGTCAAAATATTGATATCTTCATCCCTTATTCCAGACTTGACGGGCCCTAAACATTTACGTGATCTGTTTATACCTTTGTACATGTCTTTTACGTTATTTTCGATTCTATTTCAGTTGTTTTATTTTTAAGATACTCCCGTTTTTTATTTTTGAGCAATTTCGTCGTTTCGTTCTTTGATGTTTGGAAGTATTCCAGATTGTCTTGGTTAGGATTATTTAGAGCTTTTAATTTAGCGGTTTATCTTTTTCCGCACATGTTTAAGCAATCTCCATCAAACCACGGGGTTTGTTATTCTTATTTTCCTTTTTTCGTAGACACGAGGTACCGACCGCTTTAATATTATTCCTGATCTCTATCCATAACTTGTAAACATCCTCACGGTCCTTGTCAGATAGCTCTAAAGCTTCAAACCTATTCTTGACATCTAGCTCGAATCGGGTGCTTATTGATGATTTTTTTAATTTTTCTAAACTAAAATTCTCAAAATCTAAACGGTTTTTTTTCTCTTTTTTATATTAAATTTTTGTTGAAGTTTCGCTATTACTAATTCATGATCCGACCCACATTTTGCTTCGCGATAAGACCGTACATTAATAATACTGCTTTGCCTGCTATGTTGTATCAAGACATGATCGATTTGATTTCGTGTTTGCGAATCCGGTGACGTCCAAGTATATTTATGAATAACCTTATGTTTAAACGTTGTACTTTTAATCATCAAGTTTTTCGGGATGGTAAAGTTTATCAGACGGATGGCTTGAAAACTACAGGCTGCATATCTTTCGTTTCTTCTTTTCCACACCATTTCACGCCCGTCTGGAGATCGAAGAGCGAATCTTGACCCATCTGTAAAAAGTACAGCACTCCATTCGTCCATAGTCCAATGGCTGTGTTCTCGAGCAAAAGCCAGCCGTGTTAATCTGTGAGTTCTGGTCAACTCTGGTCCTCTCACTGGACGAAAAGCCATTAATCCATACTCATTTAATCTTCTCCGAGCGGTACGTTCAGAAATTTGCTCACCTCGAACTTCTTCAATCGCTTGAACAACGGTAAGGTGCCGGTTTCGTAAAATTCTCAAAGTCAAAAACCGGTCATCCCTGGTTCTGTTACCCTAGGCCGTCCAGAACCGGGCCTTCTATTGTTAGAACCAGTTTCCCGAAAACGCCTGGCGGCGTCTCGTAAAGTTTCATATGGAACTCCGATGGCATTAGCTGCATATCTAATGGAACGTCCATCATCAATAAGTGCCACACCACGCGCAACATCCCCAGCACTAAGAGGCATTTTAAAACTTAATATTGAAAAAATTGAAAGCCGGAGACTAAGAAATGCGCTGCAAGAAACGGCACTGAGCTAATGATACTGATTAAACATTTTGGTTCCATAGAAAGTAAACATTGGAATCAAGAATCATTTCATTGAATTAAGGATTAAGGGTTATTGTCCTCTATATTAACATTCCTAATTGAAAACAAACAAAAAGATTACCTATTTATTCATTAAAAACAATAGACTAATCCAAAGCAGAAATATTTTTAGATGAAAACATGAAAAAATCAAGTGGGTGGAATTTTTTACCTGTCAGTGTATAATAATTTGAGATTAAGAACTTACCAGGGTATGGTAAATCTTAATGGGATCAAAATATTCAAGCCAACTACAATAGGAGACAAGAGAAAATTATATTTTTCCATCTCTAATATATGTAATTATAGAGATTTGGTAGGGTAATCTAAAATATTGTCCCATGACTATTGTAATAAAAATGTAGGTTGTTTGTTGGAATGGATTATGATAAATGTTGAACGGATTTGTTTGGGTTTCTTTGTTTATATTAATGATCTGGTAATTTAATTTTAGTATATGAAATATTAAAACCATAAAATTTATTTATTTTTGTTATGTGTTCTATTGATAATTTTAGATTTTATACTGATGTTGATATTGGACATTGTTTTAACTATCTAACTTTTTAATAAATGTGATTTTTAAGTTATCCTTTAGATTATTGTAATGTAGATTATTTATAATGTAGCATAAATAGAAAAAAAAATATAATGTAATAATAAATAAAATGTCATATTTTGACATTTCAAACATTTGTTGTCAATCACTTGTATTGAAATTAAAAAATATAAGCCATCTGTGTATAGTTAGGTTTAAACCTTAATATACAGTGACTACTTCTTATACTAGGTAATAGGTCATATCCCTCTCGGCACAAATAATGAGGTAGCTCAAAAAGATTGGTTTAGTGAATACCTCAATTGGTAAATTTGAACTACTGTTAACTTTTTCACTCAATACACTTGTACAAAAAAAAAAAAAAAAAAAAAATTAAGTGATAAATCGACCATCAAATTGAATTCAAAATTATTTCAATCGAAGTGTTCACAAGACTATTTCTTTTTAGCAATCCCATTCTAATACTGGAGGGTGGTATGTCCTCATGGTTTCTGTCTTGTATAATAATATAAGCGGAATTGTTTACCAGTTATCATTCAATATATAGAATGCCATTATTAGATCTAGATCATGTAAATTCCAAAATGTATATTATTGTGGTGACATTGGATTTCCAAGTTGTTATCTTATAATACATTTTGGCACCATTTAAATTTTTTATAAAGCTAAGCAATTATCTGCTTATTCATACAGCATTAGTTACCTTAAATAGATTAAGTTTAGTTTAAAGGCTCAAACTTAGGAAATGCAACAAAATATTTGACAGTTATAGTAAAATTAATTAGTAAATAAATGACTAAAGGCTATCACAACTGATAATAATAAAAACAGAAGCAGGTAAAGGAATTAAATAAAACAAACTTTCAAGAGTGACTTTACACATTATTTTCTTGAAATCATATAAATCCAGAACTATTGATCAATGATAATAAAGTAAGAGGAATACACATATTGACATTCGAAATCCTAATTTTTCAAATTTATCAACAATTTACCAGTAAAATCAATTGCTATAATTTTTACCAGCATTGTGTTCTTTGAAGGACAATCATTGACCTTTTCAACAAGCATATAGCTAGCTCTAGTACTTGGCAGAAAATAAAACATTGAATGAATGATACACATACAAAGGTTGAAGTAGTTAACAAATTTGATTACATTGTTTAAAAAGATGATATATTCCATGGTTATGTTAACAAGTAAAAAATTAGTATGGATAGTTCTATAAAAAAATTAAAATCTGATTAGTTATAAGGAACAGGCACATTATCTTGTTATTTTTCAAGTTTAAAAAAGTAAAACTGATATAGTAATCAACATTGTTTTTTGGAATCCATAAAAAAATGTATCTAGTGCATTTGTCTTACTCCCACATCGTTAAGCACTCGAGTGCTATTTCTATTTTTCTCAGATTCATTTATACTAATGACTATTTATTTTCATAGTCTTAATAATTTTCAATATAGTATTATTTTCTTATAAGAAGCACTCATAGTTAATCAAATGAGAAAAAATAAATTATGCCATTAACATCTCTACAAATCAAGATTTTCATTTCCATTGATTTTTAAAGAATGGATAGTAGACATATTAAAGAGGGCTAACAAGATATTAATTAACTTGAAAAATGAATAGTTATAAAAAAAAACACACACAAATATATGCTTGAATTTCATAATTAAATATCCAAACAGAAAAGTTTGCCATTCTTAACACTCTTTAGCATTTAAATACTTATTATAAACACCTACTTGTAAATAAGTTTTTAAAAAAGTAAACTAACATTGAAGGAACTAGTAATCAATTACTATTATAAAACTTAGTAGCTCCTGAAATTAATTATTCTTATTTCTGATCTTGTGGATGGCTTGCTACTAGTTAGACCTAAATGAGCATAAAAGTCTTCTTGATAGTGGATAGATGATTGACAGCCGTAAATAATTAAAGCAAAGTTGGTTGGGGTGTTCAATCAAAATATAAAATTAAAATAAATAAATTTGTTTATTTTTACTAAACACCCCAAACAACTTATCTTCAATAAAAGTTTTGTAAATGATAAACTTATAACTTGTAGGTGTTGAACATCAACTGTATACTATAAGGTAGTTAATTATATATTAAAATAAATCTTCAAAGAGGTACTAAATATATGGACAAAGCAGTTATTATAGAATAATTCATCATATGAAATTGTAACGTTTATTTACTTCAGTGGTATTGCTTGTTACTCCAAATTATTGTTTATTACAAATAATCATTTAAATTAAATTTGCACTATTAAAACAATTATCTGTAATATTATTAGAAACACATTACATGAGCTAAATACAATTTTAACTACATATTACACTGAAAATCTTGTAAATGATTTATTTAAAATCTATATGAGTATATATTTATAAATTTTGAACTATAAGTACAAAACAATAAATGTTTTCATCTTTATGACATAACTAAGTATCAATAAGTTTTGTATTTTCATATGAAAATTATTGCTAAAGTGAAAATTTGAGCTAATTTCTTTACTGAAAACTTAAAGTTCAAAGTAAATGATAAAAATTTCACAGAAATGTTGTTACAAAAAAATCATAAATCCATCAAATTATATTATATATATATGTACCAGGCGCAATAAACTTGTACAGGATCGAGACTCTATGATCAGGCTCTACAACCAGGAACCTTTCACAGTAGAAGAGGCCAAATTAATAATAATAATTATATATTGCAATTCATAAGTTGCAAATTATAGAACCATTGTTATAACAATTATAATTTTAACCAAGGATCTTGAAGGCATTCAGAAGCAGTAGGCCTTCTCGTAGGATCATACTTCAGCATACTTAACAAAAAATCTGCAAACGGAAATGCTAGCATAATATTCCATTTTTTTAGTAGGGCGAGTCTTTGATCTAAGGAGCATCGCTCTGATGTATCAACATTTATTAAGTCTCCTGATTCTGATAAATATTTAGGTGACAGCAATCCTGCATCTTGAATTGTTCTGGGTATATTTCCAAGTAGTTGTATCATGAGACCAATATGAATTTCATGTTTTGAAACACCGTCGAAAGAAGGTGGATAAAATAAAACATCTCCAGTAGCTAGCTCATATGCTATACAAGCTATGCTCCATATATCAACAGGAGGCCCATAGTCTGCAGCTATTAAAATTTCTAGTGATGTATAAGGTCTAGTTGGAATTGGAGATGTAAGTATATCTGACCTTGTACAGCTAGTACCAAAATCAGTAATTTTGATCTTTATGTCTCCTCTTGAAAATATATTTAGTCTAGAGTACAATCTACAGGTGAACGTGATTTGAATTTTTTTTGTTTGCATATCCCCAGCAACAGCACCAGACCCAGATGCATTTTCATTGCCAGTTTCTTGAATTTTACCAAAGAACTCTCAGCATTTTTATTAATTTGATCCTCTCCACTTTCAGGCCTTATTTCTTGCATATTGGCGAAATCCACTATCATTCTAATATCATCATCACCAAGACAAATTAATATATTTTCTGGTTTGAGATCAGTATGTATAATTCCACATTTTGAGTGCAAATAATCAACCCCTTCCAGAATTTGTCGAATTATGCTCTTGACTTTAAATAGTGGAGCTCCTTTGGAATATCTTTCTTGAATGAATGAGCATAAATCATAACCAATTGTTTGGAAAACCATGCATACGTGAACGCCTCCCACTTTGTTTGGCACTATAAAGCTTTCTGAAAGTTTCAATAATCTTTCACATCTTTGATCTGAAGGATCAGTAGAATGAATCTTTTTAAACATATTTATTTCATGATGCCCACTATAGTATGATTTACTTCTGATAACTTTCATTGCAATGTATTTAGATTTTAAAATATCCCGACACAACCAAACATTCGAAAATTGGCCCTGGCCGAGTTTTTTTATAATGCGAAACTTGGATTTTACCAAATCCCCAATTTCTGCATCAAAAAAAGTGTCCCTGTTACCCAATTCTTCCTCATTCAGTTGCTCTGCTCCATTCGATTCTTCTTTAGGATTGTCATTGGAATCTTGCAATCTTGATTTCTCCATTGCAGACGAAGAGGCTTCTTGGCTCATTTTTATTTCCAATTATGAGACTTTAATACTATTCAGAAACACTGCTCCTTCAGAAAAAACAGAAAGTGATGAATCAGCCACAAAGAACAATAATTAACCGATAATGGGGAAAAATAATTAACAGAAAACTGAGTAAGCACAACAACACCTCCGAATGATCTAGGCGTATGACGTAACTTCAGAACCAACGCCCTTCTCTTCTCTTCTTATTGGTCCATTATTATAAATGCCATATAAATATACTAAAGATACATTAGGCTCTGAAACAAACACATTTATTTTTTTTTTGCATTTATTCTAAATTTTAAATGACATTCGTTCCGACTTGTATTCACAAATTTATTTAAATCATTTTTTATTTTTAATCTACCATATAGAAATTCTGCTTATTTTAATTATTCAGCATTTTTAAACAAATCCATTATATACTTAATAATATTTAGACTGAATCGTTATCCAATGTAAACGGACCGCTATATTAAAGTGCGTGTTTATTCCCCAATCTTTTGTCTATTTTGTTTTTATTACTACGATATCTTTATTGACTAATCTAACAAGCTTGGCCATAACTAATTGTGATAATTTGATTATTCACATTTATAGAAAATGCTAATCAAAATATTTCAATTTTAAAAACACTGATATAATATAAGGAAACTAACAGTAAGTAAAATAAAAATAAAGACACAACTCGCCTGTATACATACTAAAAACATTTACAAAATCGGTCTGAGGAACAACAAAACCCAGAAAAAACAAACATGTGAGGTGTACATCAGGACTTTAGGACAGAACATCGCTCTCGCTATGTCAATGATATTGAGCCAGTTGAAGCTGAATAAAACCACAAACACATTGAACATGAGTGGAGGATCTAGGAATTACCAGAACTTTACTTGACAATTGAAGTGATATAATCTGTTTTATTGCAAAACAGATGGCTACAATCGTTACTGCCTAGTTGGATGATAGAGATGAGTAAAGTTAGATAAGCATTGAACTTAGATAAGAGTGATTGGAAAGAGTCATGAGAAATTTTGAAAATTGGTCAGTAAAAGGTCAAAGGCATCAAGGATATGAAGGTCATTTTGCTTTCAAAATTTTTTTGTTTTTTTCGCTTACCCCTATTTCTCCATTTCTGGCATATTGAGTGGAAGGAAGAGGGGAGGGGTACAGGCCTATCTGCGGGAGGGAGAAGAGAGCTTTCGGCCTGAAGCCCCCTCCCATAAAATTGTAAAATATAACCATGTTTTATGAAAAAAATATTGTCTATAAAAGTATTATTGTTCTTGTAATTACATTTAATAGGACTTCAAGAATCACTTAAACATCATTTCATACAGGTGGTTAGTTTCTTTGTTCTTCTTCCAAAGTAATAAATTATATATATATATATATAAATATATATATATATATATATATATATATATATATATATATATATATATATATATATATATATATATATATATATATAAAATAAAAAAAAGGTTTCGGGCTGAAGCCCTCTAAAATTAAATCGTGGATCCGTCAGAGAGGATAGATGTTTAAAGGGTATAACCAAACCTATGCTAAACGAAGCGGAAGGTCGAGATTATTCCCTGGGTCCACGGAAAAATCTCAGATTGGAGCAGAAGGCAGAGGCGATGGTATTCTACCAATCAATCTTTGCTCTTTTTGAGTTCATGAATCCATTTTCTATTTTCATTTCTATGCTGAAGAACTAAAATAATGACAATTGCCTCCTCGCCAGAACTACTTATTTTTTATAGAAAAAAAAGTGGTAATATACAACTTGTGGGAAGTAGTAACTCTAGTTGACTTGGCCAAGCAGAGCAACGGAGGTATTTTATCGCTTTCAAAATAAAGCTCTGTGTTAGCCCTGGATTATGTATCGTCGTGAGTTTCGAACGATATTGTAACGTAAATTCGTACCGCGTTATATGTGTGTGTGTGTGTGTGTGTGTGTGTGTGTGTGTGTGTGTGTGTGCCTTTAGAGGTTTAACCAAACCTAAACGGAGCGGAAGGTCAAGAGTATTTATTCCCTGGGTCCATTACGAAAAGAATTGCATCCCGCTCAGGCCAGATTCGATCCGTCGAATAGACTCGAGAAGTCTAGGGAGTTTTATTAGATTCATTTGATAGCAATTCCAAGATTAAACTGAAAAGGTTTAAATTGAAACCCTATGATTTTCAAAAGATCGAAGTCTAAATTTACAAATCCTGGATGAGTACCCTGTGATAAAAATTGTTTTTTTTAAAAAAAATATAACACTCCGCTGCTCATATCGCGGCCAGTTGAACGACTATTTTCTTTCTCTAATTTATCAGATGCACCCAGAATGAAATTGTTGAATGATCTATGGCTTGAGGAATAATATTATAAAAAGCTAATTGCCAATAAGTCCAGCAGGGATGGACAACATGAAATCTTGGCAGTATACTCCTGCTCCTGCATTCCGCGTAGCTGTTTAAGCGGAGCCGTCGGTGTATACGTGGAGCCAGTTCTGCTCGGGGTAGCGGCTATTTATTGTTTCCAAAGCAAGCGCTTTCAATTCCCACTCAGGTGTTTGGTGTTTCCTTACTGGTTGTGTTAGATCTAGCCGTGCCTCTGCAAAAAATCTTTGATGGTCACTGCATTTATTAAATGGCAGACTCATGCTTAGATCTATGTGTTTTCTTTCCAGTAGGTCTCTAACTTTTACTCTTAGTGGTTTTTGCGTCTTGAGGCGCTGGACAGATGTTTCTTGAGCAGCCCAGTACTTCAAACCTAGTCTTTTCATTCTCTCTGTAAGGCAGATTGCTGCTACTTCTCTCCTTGTTTGAAGTGGTTCTATTCCCGTTTCTATTATTATTATTCTGGTTCTATTATTATTATTATTATTTGTAATTAACCATTATTTGCTTCTCTTTAAATGTTATTCATTATATTTCACCTTCCTTTCATCATATTTCTCTATTTCCTATCCAACATGTCTAGTATCCTGACCTTTTGTCATGTTAATTCCCAATCCTTACCAGCCCATTTCGACGAATTTCAGCAATATTTTACCTGTAATTTTTACCATACTATTGCAGTTTCCGAAACATGGCTAAAACCCCAAATCCCTTCCTCTTCGGTTTCCTTACCCGATCACACCTTTATCCGCCACGACCGGGTTACGGTGGTTAAGAACGGGTGGTGGTGTGGGTCTTTACGTCCATAATAGCCTAAAATCCCGAATCCTAGATATCTCACTCCCTTCAAATTGTCCCCACATGGAATATCTTTTTGTTGAAATTTCCTTCAAAGCCCATCTTCTCCTATACGTTGTAGTTTATCGCCCTCCTCTGGTACCTTTCGACCCATCCTTTGAATCTACCCTATACAAATTTATCCCTTTTTACAGTAACATAATAGTTTCCGGTGACTTTAACGCCAACTTCCTTTCCGATTCCCACCACAAACACTACCTGGAAAACCTTTTCTACTCCCTTAACCTCTTCGTAGTACCATTTGCTCCTACTCATTACACTTGCTGGACCTGTTTATCATCGATTCTGCGCAGAATCTTTTGTTCTCGTCCCAGCTACCTGTTCCCTTCCTCTCTTCACATGACCTCATCCAACTATCATACAATATCCAGATCCCTGCGATCCTTCCTAAAACAATAACCTTCCGCAATATAAATTCCCTAACCGTGAAAGCATCTTACCCGATATCGAAACCCTGAATTGGAATGATGTTTACACCAGCTCCTCAATTGATACCATGGTAGATATCCTGACTTGTAATTTCCTCCATATCCTCAATACCCATGCCCCACTTAAAACCTCTACATTCCGCCGCCAGCCTGCTCCTTGGATGTGTCAAAAAATTCGAAATATGCAAAAGAGACGTGAGGCAGCCCGTAGACGCTTTAGAAGAACCAGGCTTGCAGATGACTACGAAGCGTTCAGGGTACTCCGTAACTTGACGCAGACAACGATCAGGCTGGCGAAAAACAATTACTATCGTGAAGCCTTCTCCTCGGCTCCCGATTCCAAATCCAAATGGAATTTACTCCGAAAGCTGTCACTTTGCAAATCATCTTCTTCCACAGTTGTCCCAGTCTCTCCTAATGCTTTAAATTCCTACTTTTTATCATCCTCCTCTAGTAATATTTCTCCCGCCTCTTCCCATATATCTGTATCATCTGCATTTAATAGTGACAACTTTTATTTCCTTCATAATGAAATCCCAATCCGACTCTATAGGAATTGACGGAATACCCGTCAAACTGTTAAAATTATGCCTCCCTGAAATCCTTCCATTTCTTCTATTCATTTATAACTTTTCCCTTCAAAATTCTGTTTTCCCTACATCTTGGAAAAAAGCCTTAGTCCGTCCTATTAACAAAATCCCTAACCCCACATCTCCTAAAGACTATCGTCCAATTTCCATCCTCTCAAATCTGTCAAAACCCCTCAAAAGAATTGTCCAATCCCAAATTTCCAATTTTCTCGAAGAGTTCAAACTTTTAGATCCTCTCCAATCTGGCTTTCGCCCGGGCTTCTCCACTCAATCCGCTTTAGCCAAAATCACAAACGACATATATACTGCAATTGACGAAAGAAAACTGACTGTATTGGTACTCCTGGACTTCTCCAAAGCATTCGATTCCTTAGACCATTCTATCCTGTACACTAAATTAAAATCACTATCCTTCTCCAATAGTTCTATCCTATGGTTCCAATCCTTCCTTTCTGACAGGACTCAAGCTGTTAATATTCCGAATCAACCCTTATCTTCTTTCCTCACTTTGTCTCATGGAGTAGCCCAGGGTTCAAGCATTTCTCCTATCCTTTTTTATTCTTACATCAATCACCTTCCTAGTTCAATCCACCATTGTTCATACCATCTATATGCTGATGACTCTCAAATTTATCTTTCCTTTCCGCCCACTGAGTTATTAGAAGCGTTTATGAATATTCAGAAAGACCTAGATAGGATC